GAGGGTATTTGAAAGATGGTTAATCTATGAGAGAAGTGAAAAGAGAGGATTTAGCCTACATAGGTGAAAAAGTTGACATTAGATAGCAGGGACAGTATATCTTTTTTTAATGGAAGGAAAGAAAGACATGGGTACACATGTAGAAAGGGTGGTAGGTCTGGTATAGGAAGATATGGAATTTTCCTAACGGCTTATATTTTCTCAGTGATGGTAGAAGCAAGAAAGCTTAGGGTGAGTATGGAGAAGGCGATCTGGAGGCTTGAAAGAGAAAGTATGAAATGATTGCTGCTGGATGGCAACTTTGGCTTCCTATGCACCCTTATTTTCTAAATCATTCTTGATTGCTTCATATTGTCAGATTTTAGAGGGCAGAACTTAGGCTCACCTCATTTATTTTGTATGTAGAAAAGAGCCTTGTACAAGGAATAGAACCCACAGCTGTAAAGGAGCTGTTGCCATGATGCCAGACAGCGGACAGTAAGGTTTGTTTAACTGAAGTCTTGGGGGAGAACACAAAATTATGTGAACTTTTTGATTAATTATGAGACAATAGGTAACATTTTTGGCATAAAGGAATGAAAGATAAGCAGTATATACCATCCATTCAAAAAACTCAATAAACATATATTCATCAAGTGTTATCTTTTTAATTCTGTAAGAGTTTGTGAAGCTACAATTATTACTTATATTTAAATAACAGACTGGACACGTGGTTTTTCCAATTACATAATTAAGCTTACACTTCAGTACTACTGTTTAGCTTACTTTTTATTTTATGATCTGAAAATTAACCTTATCATGGCCAAAAATTCAAATACACCTATTGTGTTTTTTTATAACTTCATTCAACTTTTTTGTTCTGACTTACTAAAGGGAATACTTACCAATGTCAGCTTCTTGATTATTCTCCCTAAACCTAGAAGTGGCTAGCCTATACTACTAGCAGTATCTACCTAATTAGAGAACAATAAAGTTGACTTTTGAAAATAACATAAACATAAGACACTTTCTGATATGGGAACATGTTAAGTATCACAGTGTTTTTTTACTTCACCTTTTTTAAGGATTACATTTGCTCCTTATGTGTATAAATAATTAATATATCATTGTGATTTGAGATTATCTACCCACTCTTTAATAGAATGAGACCTAAGAATAAATCAATAAACATTTGAAAATATTTCCTACAATTCTATTTCATCTCATTTACTAGTGACATTTAAGTTCAATCCCACTTTTTAATATTAATTTCAAGAAACCTAAACCTCAACTAACTGTCTGTGATAATTTCATGTTCTGTTATACAGTGGTTTTCCTTCCACCGGGTCATCTGTTAACCCATCTCCAACAAATCAGAATCCTCTTATGAAAGACTGTTGTAAATACTGGCATTTGCAAATTACTAAAAGGTTCCTAGGTGGACAGTTTTCCTCGATGTTAGCTATTATTCCATTTTTCCAATATCTTGGGTTACATGAAGTAGTTTAACAATGCAATGTACATTCATGGTATTTTTACCCATTACGGCATTTAACAAATTGTATTCTAATTGCTAATTCACTTGTCTATAACCCCCTCTAAACTATAAACTCTGTGAGATTAAGGACTGTGTCCATCTAGTTCGTCTTTGTATCCTTAACCTGATATATATCAAAAGGCCTATAAAATATGTGCTAAATCAGTGAAATTCCCCACAACCTGGAGAATGGTTATGATGAACTCCACAGCAATATCACTTACCTGTGAGATCCAGAGTTCTGTCTACAAAGACCACTGATGCCCTGCCCGCAGCAGTCTTTCTCCTGTTCTTGGCAGGGGCATAATTGGCCAGATCTGCAGCGATGACCCGACTTAGGGAACCCACAGCAAAACACTCCTCTCGTACTCCTAAATGCTCACACAGAGAACTGAGGCCTGACACCAGGCACCTGATCTGCAGCAGCAGCTCCGGGGTTAGAGCAGCGGCATCCACCTCACCCAGGCTTCCCAGCCTCCTCTTATCCGGTCGGGCACTATTCAGAAGATGCACATCCTGGGGCAGCAGTGGAAAAAGGGAAGCAAAGGCTGGAGTCAAGGCAAGGTGAGGAGCAGCAGGGGCGAGCAACAGCGGGACGTGGAGGACTTCGGCCGTGTAGTTCATGTTGCCCATCCACTCACAGAGCTTCTCCTGCAGCTGCTCGAACACTGGGTGCTGCCCCTCCAGCTCTGCCGCTGCCGCCGCTGGCACATGATTAGCGGTAAGATGGACAGCGTGGCTCACAGCCGTGACCACCACACAATACTGGAAGTGACTGCGGCGGATGATGTCTCGGAGAGTCTCCACGGTCCGGCCTTTCAGCAGGCAGGTCAGCACAAACACTGCCTTGGGCTGCTCAGCCCCACCACCAAGTGCGTCGGGCTCGAACTCGCGCAAGTGACACGCAGGAACCCCCACCGCCTCCAGGAGCCGCGTGGATCCGCAGCCCCAGTGCAGGCTCTCGGCGCAGGCGGCGTCCAGGTAGACCACAGACCGTTTCACTTTGGCCAGCACCTGCTCCCAGCCCTGCTGGGTAAAGGACAGCACGCCTGGGGCGCTCATGCTTGGGGATTCGCAGATTCGGGGGACTCGAGTTCAGGAATTTCTGTCAGAACTCACCGCTTCCGGAAACTGGGCTACCAGACACTTTTGATAGTCAACACGGTACACGTGTGGTCCTGCCTCTGACACGCCTGTGGCGGCGCGCGGTGATGACGTAACTGAGCGGTGATTGGCTAGTGAGGAGGCCCGGGACTGAGGAAGGAAGGTCTGGACCGGGAAGAGGTGGGCGGTGCTCCGGGGCTCTGGGCTCCCTCAGAAATTTGGAGAAATGAGAAGGGGGTTACTTAGGAAAGAGCTAAATTGCATTCTCTTCGTCCCTCTGCCTGTCTGCTCAGATTACCTCTCCGTGCTCCCTGAGAAATCTCAAATCTGAAATTTTGATATCGTCCTTCAATAATGAACACTTCGCTCTGAAAATACAGCCACTTTCCCAATCTAAACTCAGAGGAGAAAGAAAATAAAAACAACCGTGTGTCATATTTTGTAGTTTATAGACTGCTGTCACATACGTTATTGCACAAAAGCCTCATAATCCATTGGTCTCATTTTTCATTTTCTCCATCTTTCCTCTCTCATCTCATTGTCACTAATTGTTGATCTGCTACAAAACTAGAATCGAGCTCTTCTGATGCAGGGGTTGCCCCAGTGAAGAGGGGAAAGGCCCTGAACTCGCCAGGGGGTTCTTGGCTTCCCGCTGGAGAGAGTTCAAGAGCCAGCCAACTAACAACAAAAAGCTTATGGAGAGAGAAACAGACAAGAGCTCCTACTCCACAGAGTAGGGGTCCTTTTCCTGAACAGGAGGGGACCCCTTATAGGACACTGGTAATATTTTTAAATGTTCAAAAAATCCCGTTAGGAGACAGCTGTAGGTGACCAGCATTGTCTTGATGTCAGGCCAGAAAGGTTAAAAATAAACTTGTCACAGAAAGGCAAGTGCAAATAGTTTGTAAGGCGTCTGGCTTAGTAATTCATCCATCCTTGGGTGGTCACCGCTGCTGGGGACTTGCTGGCGACTTCCTTGTTCAGGGTGGTTAGGGTCTGGCATCCACCAACTAGGCTGCACTCAGGCTCTCTCCACCTTCCTTTTCTGCCTTATCCCTACATTACTTTCTCTGCATCCCTGCTGTCACACAAGCCAAACTCACCTGGACAGTCGCAATGATCCCCCATCATTTCCTGGCTTTCCATCTCTTCCTCCTCCGATTCGGTTTCTTCCTAATAAACCAAGTTAGTCCTACCGTTTCCCTCTTAAAAGCTTCTCCTGGCCCAATGGCCTACAGGATACATCCAGACTCCTTAAAAGCCACCAAAGTCCTTCGTGATTTCTTAATTTCTCTCCAGCTACTCCCAGCCTGGAGAGAAATCGTCCCAGCATAAATGAAGTCAACAGACTGAACCCAGAATGTTTCATGGGTTCAGTTTGTTCAACCAATAGTTTTAAGCACTTACTAACTATAATCATGTGCTAAGCTCCAAAAATAGAATGGTTAATAAAATACCTTACCTGATTCACAAAGAGTTTACTCATCACCACCATCACCCTAACTCCTTCCTTTTCCCCCAGTACACAGCACTCAATTGATATACTTGCTAAGTGCTTCCGTATCATGGGGTAAGTTTTAGCACGTATTTTCTTTAACATATCTGTTTTACTAACTTATTTACTAGATACATGGTATCCCCAAAACCTAGAACATAAGCATTCAATAAATGTTGAATTTATTCAACATTTGAACATAAATGTTCAATTAATATCCATATAATAATACATTCAACCAATTTTTAATAAACATGTATGATATTCCAGAGACTGCTTTGGGCATTGAGGATATAAGGAAAAATAAGCCACAGCCCTGACCTTAAAATAATTATAATGAGGCCATGCATAGTGGCTCATGCCTGTAATCCTAGCACTCTGAGAGGCCGAGGCAGGAGGATTGCTCGAGGTCAGGAGTTCGAGACCAGCCTGAGCAAGAGCAAGACCCCAGTCTCTACAAAAAAAAATAAAAAAATAATAATTATAATGAAATAATAGGACCCACACATGTAAAAAAAAAGTGCAATAAAATGTTACAGAAGCAACAATTTTTTTAAAAAATGTATAGGAGTTATAAAAAATGAAAAATAAACTCTGATTGAATGAAGGAAAAAGGGAAGTGGTCAGAAAAAGTTTCATATAGGATATGAGTTTTGAGTTGCCTTCAAAGAAAACCAGGTGTTCACCAGGTGGACAGGATGAGGAGGAGGATTCTTAGCAGTCCAGGCAGAGAGTGCTGCAAGAACAAAGACATAAAGGCATAAAACAGTACAACATGTTCTCTGCAACTACAAATGGTTTACTATCCCTGGAATGTTTGTATGAAGTAGGGCCCAAGAAGAAATAGGAGCAAAGAAGTAGAAAAGAAAGGAATGGATAGATCAAGGAGGGTGTTATTTTCAAATCCAAATAGTAACAGCCAATTGGGAACTGTTAAAGTATTTTTAGGAGTGGAAATAATTTGTTCACATCTGGGTTTTAGAAAAAAAGATTCTAGTAGAGACATGGAAATTAATTTGAAATGGAGCAAGATTTAGGGCAGAGAGAGCAGTCAGGAAATAGTACCAGCAACAATTCTGTGGAGAATTGATAAGGATAACAACAAAGGAGGTAGACTGAGTGGGGTATAAAAAGAAATGGGAAGAAGATAGTGTCAAAGGGCTCGGTTATTAGTTTAGCAGCGAGAGGAAGGCAGAAGGAGAATTTCAGGTTAACACCCAGCTTTCTGTTTGGATGACTGGCAAATGGCAGCCACTGATATTTGAAAAGCCGGAAGAGAAGCACGTTGGGTGATAAACATGCTGAGTTCAGTCAGGACATGTTTTTGTTTGATTGTGGTAAACTACACATAACATAAAATTTACCATCTTTACCATTGTAAAGTGTACAGTTCAGTGGCATTAAGTATGTTCACATTGTTGTGTAACCAGTCACCAGAACTTTTCACTGCAAAACTGAAACTCTGACCCCATTAAATAACAACTTCCTGTTTCTCCTCCACCCCCATGCCCAGACAACCTCCATTCTGCTTTCTATTTCTGTAAGTTAACTATTCCAGGTACCTCATATAAGTGGAATCATACCATATTTGCTTTGCTGTGATTGATTTATTTCACTTAGCATAATGTCCTCCAGGTTCATCCATACTGTAACATGCATCAGAATTTTCTTTCTTTTTAAGGCTGAATATTATTCCATGGTATGTATATACCACTTTTGTTTATCCATTCATCTGTCAATGGACATTTGGATTGCTTCCACCTTTTGGCTATTGTGAATAATGCTGCTTTCAACATGGGTGTACAAATATCTCTTTGAGATCCTGATTTTGGTTCTTTTGTGTATGTACCCAGAAGTGGAATTGTTGGATCACATGGTAATTCTATTTTTAACTTCTTAAGGGAACTCTGTCTTCCATAGTGACTGCACCATTTTGTATTTCTACCACCAATGCACAAGGGTTCCAATTTCCCCACATCCTTGCCAATACCTGATATTTTCTGGGTTTTTTGATAGTAGCCATCTTAATAGGTGTCAGAGCATGTTGTTTTGAAGATACTTGAGGGACATCTAGGTAGAAATGTCTGGTGAGCTGTTGGATGTATGATTGTGGAATATAGGAAAGAAGTCTGGTAATCTGGGAATCACTAGTAAATGGGTGGGCTTCAGATAGCTTGAAGAGAGCATAAAGAAGAAGGAAGACAATGGGGTGATGAAGAGAGCTCTGAGCAACATTCCTGGGTGGGAAGCCAATGAGTGGAGTCATGGGGAAGCAAATTTTAAGAATTAAGAATAGAGTGGTCAACAGTAGCAAGTGCCAGAAAAGGGAAATGAGACGGAAAAGGATCCACAGGATTTGAACCTGTGCAGGAAGAAAGCGCAGCCATGATAGGGGAGCGCTGGAGTGCAGAATAAGTCAACGGATGGGGAAACGCATCTTCTAGGAACTATCTCTATAAGGTTGTAGAAAAGAGGATGATGGAGGAATGAGGAGGTAAGAAAGTTGGAAGAATATGAAATTAGGGTCAAAGAAAGTAGCTTGGCCTTTAAAATTCAAGGAGGGAATAATTCTATGATAGAATAAGATCCAGGGTATAGTCCCGAACATGGACTGCAGAAGTGGAGTGAATGAATATCATTGAATAGTTAGACTCCAGGAGGTCAAAAACCGTGAGACAAGCAGGATGTGCAAGTCACACGTCACGATGCCCAGTGGCGGAGGAAGGGAAGACTGTGGACCAGACTCCCATGTCATCTGTGGATGGGGGAAAGAGAAGAGGTACGGGTGGAGGTGGAAAATGTGGATGGTGTGAGCTGCAAAGGAGGAGGGTTTTCACAGGACAGTGGAGCCATGCAGTCTGGTAGAGGCAGAAGCACCAGGGAAATGACAACGCTGTCTCCAGGCTCCACAATACAGCAGGCAGCAGGATGATGGTGGGCATCCAGCAGAGAAGGACAAGGAGGAGTGCTGTCCTTGGAGGGAGGTTAGATTTCAGTTTCAGTGAACAAGCTGAGAGATTCTTCTGCTAAAATATTGAAACTAATGGGCATGCACATAAAATGGAACAAAAGCAGGGACTGAGAGTTAAATGCAGAGTTGAGAATCAGGTCTGCAAGAACTGGGAGAGAATAAGCACAGACACTGTCTTAGTTCAGACAAAAATACCACGGACAGGGTGACATAAACAGTAGTTTATACGTACAGTTCTGGAGACTGGGAAGTCTGAGATCAGAGTACTAGCATGGTCTGGTTCTGGTGAGGGCTCTTTTTCTGGTTCATAGATGGCTGGCCATCTTTGTGCTGTGCCCTCACATGGCAGAGAGCAGAGAGAGAGGAAGCAAGCTCTCCTGTCTTTTGTTATAAGGGCACTAATCCCCTTCCCATTAGGGAGGACCTAATTACCTCCCAAAGGCCCCATCTCCAAACACCAACACATTAGGGATTAAGGTTTCAACATATAAATTTTGGAGGGAAACAAACATTCAGTCCATAGCAGAGATGTGAAAAAAAGACACTAAAAGAGTTAACAAAAGGTGACTAAGAATGAGGTGATACGGAAGTTGAACGATGCAGAGCCTGTATAATCATATATAACTTCAGGGACTTCCAGATCGTGAAAGAGCTTATAGGCCACATGACAGGAAGTTTGGATTTAATTTCACGCGTAAGAGGAAGCCATTGAAGAGTTTTGTGTCACTTGAATTGCAGTGTAGCAGTGCAGATGTAGAAAAGTAGGTAGGTTTGGGATATATTCTACAGGAAGAGCTAACAGGTTTTGCCAATGGATTTGCATAGGTGTGAGAGAGGCAGAGAAGGAAAGAGAAGATGCAAGGATGAGTCTTTGTATTTTGGCTAAATAAAACAAGTTGGATGGTGGGTATTGGTGGAGAAGCCTTTGGGAGTATGGGAGTGGGACCGGTAAGGTTTGGGAGGGGAATTCACAAGTTCTGTTTGGGGCATATATTTGAAATGCCTATTAAATACCCAAGATAGGTATCAGGTGAAGCATTAGAGTCCTGAGCTCAAGGAGAAGCTAAGATTGCAGATAGAGGCCAGGTGTGGTGGCTGATGCCTGTAATCCTAGCACTTTGAGAGGCTGAGGCAGGAAGATTGCTTTAACCCAGAAGTTCGAGACCAGCAGTCTGGGCAATATAGCAAGGTCCCATCCATACAAAAAATTTAAAAATTAGCTGGGCGTGATTGTGTGTGCCTGTAGTTCCAACTACTCGGGAGGCTGAGGCAAGAGGATTACTTGGGCCCAGGAGTCTGAGGTTGCAGTGAGCTATGAAGACACCACTGCACTCTAGCTCAGGCAATAGAGCATGACTCCATCTCAAAAAAAAAAAAAAAAAAAAGACTACAGATAGAAATACCCAATGGCATAGGTGGTATTAAAAGTCATGGAACTGGATGAAATGACCTTGGGAGATAGGTTAGACAGTAAAGATAGGAGAACCCAGGCAAAAGCCTTTTCTTGCTTTCAGATGTTATGGCAGAATAAAACGAATTCTTGCCAAAATGACCTGCTTACGACTACCATGTCTACCTTGTTAAAATGTGATTTGTATTTCTCTGCTCAAAATGATCGGCTTTTATTTCCCATTCTTCATAAAATCAAGCATATTTCTCTTCACCTCATTTCTAGGTCCTCCATACGCATGATTCAGGCTTAGCTTAAGGATTTACTGAGCACTTTCTATGTGCTTGACATTGTGAGCAAGGTGAGTAGGGAGAGAAGCACACCTTTAGCAAAGGAAGCATATCCAGGCAAGGAACTCAGTTTGGAAGCAAGGAAGGAAGAGGCCTTTTCAGGGTGGTTATTAGGAATTTATGGGCTTCTCTGCTTGTGGAAACCTTCATTTTCAAAGCTTAGCTCAAATGCTAACTCCACCATGAAGTCAATTCTAATGCATCAGGTACTACCCATCAAGTCTTTAGTTTGGTTTAAGCAATGCCTTGTAAAGCAGCTGAAAAGAGAAAGAGGCCCCTTAGCACAAGGCAATTTGTTTTCCTATGAAACCACCAAAGTTCATTATGGACTCATGAATGGTAAATAGAAAGGTAAACGGATGGGAGTATGAGATTGCCTTATGATAATCCCAAGCACTACAAAAAATCTTTACTCCTTTCAACAAAGATCAAGATTTACTCGGTGTTAGGCACCCTAAGAGGAATGGGAGTGACAGATAAACAAGATGTTCTGTTTGAGAGGAGACTCAGTATAACCAAGAGTAGGAAGAAAACAGATACGTAGGAAAATAATTACTATACAATGTGCTAGACACATGTCATAGAGCAACATAAGATCTAGAAGAGAGTGATTAGCTCTGTTTTACCCACTCCCTAATACCTCTGACCTCATCTTCATTCTCTCCCTCCCTCACTACACTCCAGCTACATTTTGGGTTCCTTGAACATGCAAAATATGTTTCCGCCTCAGGGCTTTTGCATTTCTTATTCCCTCTGTCTATTAGTCTATTCGCCCAGAACTCCACTGGGCTTACTTCCTCTCTCCATCCAGATTTCTACTTCTATGTCACCTCACCTCATCCCAGTGGCTTTCCCTGACTACTTGACATAAAATTGAACCCTATGCCTCTTCAGCACTCCACTCTGGGTCCCTTTATATTGCTTATTCTTTTCATAATCCTTATCATCATGACATGGTATACCTGTATATGTTTATTGTCTGACTTGCTCATTAGAATCAAAGCTACATGAGAGGAAGGACTTTGTTTTAGTCACTGCCGGATCTCCATAGCCTGGAAGAGCTCCTGGCACTTGATAGACCCTTCAAAAATATTTATTTAATAAATAAATAAATAGGAGGAGATAAAATGGGATTCAAGAAAGATTTCACCAAGGTGATTACACTGCAAAAGAGTTTAGAAGGATGCAAGGGATTAATTTAAACAGATAAGGGAGCTGGGAATAGCAGAAGTGTGTTCAAAGGTGAGGAGGATTAAAACCACGTGGGTGGTTTGTTTAAACACTGTGAGATGCTGTGGTGTTGGTGGGGTGTAAACACTTCATTTGTGATTCTATTATAGCACATTCACCTTTTCCCTTGGAGGAGAGTTGTTTACCACCCTTCTGTCTTTTTCAATAAATTAAGAGCTCTTTAAGGGCTGGGACTGTGTCTTCACTTTCCAAGTTCTTAAGCAGAGCAAATATTCTACACTTGTTAAATAAATAAATGAAAAAAACAATATCTATTCATTAAAGAGCAAGAAAACTCATTGATTTGTAAAACCAAAATTGACTTCTGTCTGTTGAAAAGTGAGTGTTCCATTTGAAAACTTTAGAACTGAAGGGGCCCTTAGAGATCATTTAACTCAGCTTTTTCATTTTAGAGATGAGAAAACTGAAGCATAGAGGTTGATTGCCGGAGGTTATGCAACCTGCCAGGTGTAAGTAAGTACGAGAACTCCAGTTGATCTTATGTCTTTGTCCTCGAAAGGTTTGCTCAAGAGTAGCCTGAAAATTCGGTTTACCTATTAAAATAAAAACCGTACATACTTTATGATCTTGGAGAAACACTCAGACAAATCTGCACGAAGTCATAAGGATCTTCATTGTAGTTTTTTCTGGTAAAAGCGAAAAGTTGAAGGCAATCTACATATACACAACGGTATGGAAATAGCCATATTCGCTTTGTGCCCCACATGCTGTGTAGTTCTATGAAGCACTTAAAAATGGATATAGTTTGATATATGCTGAAATGGAAAAGATCGCCAAGACAGTTGAGTTTTTTTTGCTGTGTTTTTGTTTTTTTAAAAAAGCAAGTTGCAAGATGATACTATACCCTTTAAGGTCCCTCGACCTAAGGTTCTCCCACCTGACACAGCACAATACACGTGAAGTAAACGTATAGAAAATTCCAGAACGATGCACCCCAAACAGGGCTGTGCATCTGTAACAAGGGCAAAGTAACAAGGGATGCCTCTGAAAAGCAGAGTAGTGTATGAGGTGCTCTTTGACGTGGACTGTAACGTTGGCTTTTGTTTTTCTAACAAGGAGAATGCATTATTCATGTATTAGTTTTGCTTTTGTTGGCTGTTAAAATTAATTTTTCAAGAAATTGAGCACGGATTATTTCTTCTCTATTCAATGAGAAACACAGGACCGACAGGTAATGATTCTGTATCAAGGCTGATACAACACGTGAGGAAGGAAACAAGGCCTTTCAGAAGATTAAAAAAATAAATAAGTAAAAAGGGCGACAAGAAAAAGCATCAGGGATGGAGGGAACAATGGTGCACTCGCCAGCGAAGTCAATGCGGGTTACTTGAGCAAAGGCTGGGGGAGGGGAACCCCAACCGACGCAGGACGCCACCCGAGAAAGCCTCGCTAAATGGCAAAACGGGCTTCTACGGGGCGGGGCCAACCGCACTGCGCGTGCGCAACAAGGCCCAGGTGGCCGCCGCGGAAGCGAAGCCACCTAGAGACGCCGCGCCGCTTGGGTGCCGCTGCGCGTGCGCAAGGCTGGTCGGCGTTGGAGTCTTCATCTTTGCAGCTGCCGCCGCCTTCCCGGGATTTAAGTCTCGCGCTTTCTTCGTTCGCTCGCCGGCGGGTTCGCGCCCTTCTCGCGCCCCGGGGCGGCGAGGCTGGGGACGGGTTGGAGGGGGCTGTTGATCGCCGCCTTTAAGTTGTGCTCGGGGCGGCCATGTCGGCCGGCGAGGTCGAGCGCCTAGTGTCGGAGCTGAGCGGCGGGACCGGAGGGGATGAGGAGGAAGAGTGGCTCTATGGCGGTACGGAACTTCCTGTCCCTGTCTCTCTCGGGTTCTCGCAGGCCTCCCTTCGCCGCCCGCAAACGGCCGGCGTCCCGGGCCCCTCGGGCCGCCGCCTTGGGCCTCTCGTCCCGAGCCCCGACCGGCCCGACCTAGGCCGAGCGCGGTGCGCGCGTTTCCCCGCCCCGCGGCCTCCGCCGCCCAGCCCACGCCCCCCACGCGCACCCACTCTTGCGGCGGCCGACGACGGGGCCTGGGGCGGGGGGCCCCAGGGCAGGCCCTCGGCTTCGCCCTCCTCCCCGCCGGGGCTTCTCGGCCGCCTCGCCTGCGCGCTCTTCACACTTGTTTTTTCTATCGATTCAGCGGTGTGTTTTGGGTGTCTCTTGCCCTGTGGCCGTAGGGTGCCCTTCCTGTCCTTTTCAGAAAGTCATTCTGTAATAATAGCTAAATAAAGTTAATGCTGTAAAACTAACGTGTTGTTTCTTGATGGTCAGTTTGTATGGAATGCACCTGCAAGGGTACCTCCTTGTCTGAAAGTCGTGCTTTAAAAATAATTAATTAAGAGAGAGAGAAAGAGATGGAATACATTATGGCCCATAAAGAAAACTCTGAATGTCTCCTGTATTAAGGTGAAGTTTTACTTTTTTAAGAGACTGCTCTTTAATCAACATCGTAGAAGTATCTCATGACCCTTAGGCTTATAGTTTTCAGTATCATCTCATGCATTTCTTTTTTCTTAAATTTAATGCATCTTGTACTTACTTCCCTCTTGAAGGGAACTTGTTTGACATCTGGTTTTTAACTTTCGTTAAGTCACAATCCCTTCTTGCCTGTTACTGACACCAGATTTGAAAGTTAACATTTGTTCTTTGCCTAAAACGTAAGTTCTTCATTGTCTTTAGAATAATAAAAGTGCACGTTGGGCACCATGCAGCTTCTTTTTGTAACTTTGATAAACTTGATGTAACTTTGATAAACTTGTTAAAAGAATTCATTATCTTTGATGACAAGATTTGGTATTAGTAATACTCTTTGAAATGTGAATGTGTAGGATTTCTTTTACAAAGATCCTGGAAATCTTTAATACTTCTTAAATTAAGCTTATTTTTGTAGTAGTAAAGTCTGATATATCTTTTTTTCCGTAAAAAAAATATATTGTTAAGTAATTATAAGGTGATCTAACTTTGGATGTGCTTATAGGCCCATGGGACGTGCATGTGCACAGAGATTTGGCAAAGGACCTAGGTTAGTGCTTGTGATGATCACTTCAGATTTTCATAATACTGGTTTCTTTAAGAATGGTTTATTTACTTATTTATTTTATTTATTTTATTTGTTAGATGAAAACGAAGTTGAAAGGCCAGAAGAAGAAAATGCCAGGTTGGTGAAATTTCCTGTTGATGCTTACATAGCTTATGTGATACAGTGGTTCTGTCAACAAATTGTCAACATTTTACTATAGTCATTGGCTTGATTATAACATTTTGACTTAAAACATTTCAGAGGAGATTGACTCCTTTAAGGTTTATTCCTGTTTCAGTACCTAATCTATACCAATTCTGTTTGCTAGTAGTAGCCTATAGGACAAAGATTTTGAAGTTAGGGTTTGACTACTTTTGACTATTAAGTAACTTCTTTTAAATGAGTTCATTAGTGGAATATACGGTATAATTATTAAGCTGCTGAAAAAATAGTTTAAACTTAAAACATTTTAAGTAAATAAGGAACCCCCTAAATTGCTGTTTCTACAATTTATTAATGTTTTTGATGGTGTAATGGCACTTTGGTTGTGATTTCAATGCTTTATATTTATTTAAATTCAAAGTGGAATTAACTAATTTGTTATAAGGTTGATCCCCTGTGCTAAATTATTAGAAAGATACACTCATTTACAAAATGTAATCAGGAAGTCAGATGTTTACTGTAAATTTCAAAACTCATGCAAAGAATTTCATGGATATGATGACTTTGACCAGATGCCTTAGTGTCCTATAATGGAGGAATAGGTAGTTAAAGAGCTTTTAAAGAATATTTGGAGGAAAAGTGGAGGACCTACCACTTCTCACCCAGCAGACTATAATCAAAAAGATAAAACAGGTGTTGGTGAGGAGATGGAGAAATCAGAACCCTCATACACTGCTGGCAGGATTGTAAAATGGTACAGCTGCTTTGGAGAACAGTCTGGCAGTTGCCTAAAACAGTTACTATATGACTCCCACCTTAGAGAAATGGAAACACAAATCCACATAAAAACTTGTACATGAATATTCACAGCAGCATTATTCCTGATAGTCAAAAAATGGGGAGGTAAAAAAAAACGCAGTGTCCATCAACTGATGAATGGATTAAATATATCTGTACAATGGACTACAGTTTGGCAGTGAGAAGAAATGAAGTACTCGTATGTATTACAACATGGATAAACCTTGAAAATATGCTAAGTGAAAGAATCTAATCACAAAGGACATATATCGTATTCCATTTATATGAAATGTGTAGAATGGGTAAATCCATAGAGACAGATTGGTGGTTGCTGGAACTGGCAGAGGAAAATGGAGAGTAACTCTATAGTATACGAGGTTTCTTTTGGGGGTGATGCAAATGTTCTGGACTTAGATAGTTATGATGGTTTTGCTATGTGAACGTACTAAAACCCATTTAATTCTGTTTGGATGGATTCTAAGCTATGTGAATTCCATCTCAATAAAGCTGTTATAACAAAAAAGTAGATGGAAGAAAGGGAGAAATCGACATAGAAATAGCTTTGGGGGAGCCAAAATTACAGTTTGGTTTCCTCACCCAAATGTAGCCCCTATATTCTTGTCATTCATTGGTATATCATCTGAAATTTTATCATTTAGTTTTGGAATTTATGCATTCGATCCTAATCTCAATTTAGCACCACATTGAGATTAGTTTAATTTATAATTTTGAAAGTGATTAAATGTTCCTTTATACCCATTTCTTGACCCAGTTGGTCAAGAAATTGATTGCAGGGTATGTAGACTCACAGTCAAATACATACATTTTAAATAGAATAATCTTTTTCCCATTGCTACTCTTGGTTACGAGTCTCCAAGTTTACTTTATAATGAACATTCTTTAATTTTTTTTTTTTTTTGAGACAGAGTCTCTATTGCTTGGGCTAGAGTGCCCTGGTGTCAGTCTAGCTCACAGCAACCTCAAACTCCTGGGCTCAAGTTATCCTCCTGTCTCAGCCTCCTGAGTAGCTGGGACTACAGGCACATACCACCATGCCCGGCGATTTTTTCTATTTTTAGTAGTCTGGATAATTTCTTTTTTCTATTTTTTAGTAGGGATGAGTTCTCGCTCTTGCTCAGGCTGGTCTCAAACTGCTGAATTCAAACAATCTTCCTACTTCAGCCTCCCAGAGTGCTAGGATTATAGGCATGAGCCACCACGCCCGGCCTGAACATTCCTTAATTTTAATTCTCTAATACACACCATTTATTGAAGGGAAGCCACCTTCTACCTTCCCTGAGTGTCACTGTCAAAATTTCTTTATATTCCTTACTAAAACTTCATTTGGAAAACAATTGACTATTTCATCCTATGGATAAAAATTTACGTTGAAAATTTTATTTTTTTAGAAAAAGCTTATAATTTTATCATGTTTCTAACATTTCAATGGTGATAAAAAATTAAAACTTGTAAAAGAGTAGGTCCGTTGGGGAAAGGAGATCTGCCGAACCTGCTGGTATTTGATTTGATACATCATTGCGTTGCCCTACCTGAGTCCTGTGCTGTTGGACTTTGCCCCAGCTTCTTTGTGACGAGTTCACGGCTGATGAAGACTCTGTTCTTCCTAACCACTGCATTACACTGTCTCCAATTCTTTTTTATCTATCCAAGTTTTGGCTAAAGATAGGATACTGTTTTGCGACGTAGAAAGTAAATGGAACTTGTTTCTTGCTACCTAGAAGCTTATTTAAGCGGGAGGTGTAAATGTACTGAAGAATTATAGTTGCATATTTGTTTTCTGGAGGCAAGCAGTAGAATAATGAAAATTTAACAGTTCAGTTTTTATCCCTCAGCTGGTTTTATTTGGTGATTGTGTTTGAAAATGCCACTGTAGAGATTAAATTGATTTATATAGAAACTGCCTGACAGAAAGTGAAGTTTAGAAGAGATTAACAGAAATCTAATGAAAAGAGCTCTGAACTATGTCAACATCTGGACATTTTTCTTAGAAATGTTACTATAGCTGAGATCTGGGCCAAATCAGTTAGTTGCTTTGTACTTCAATTTTCTTACTGTAAAATGAGGTGATGTTAATTCCCACTGTTGAAATATAATTACAAAAAATGTAAGAAACCTATTACACTATAGTACTAGAAGTGTTTGGTTAATTGTCATATGCTTGAATCTCATGGGAACAGGAGTGTTTTGTTAAGTATCTGTTTTGTTGTGAAAGGACAAATTCAAGTATTAACTGGCCTTAAAAAAGTTAGTTTTTTAAAATGCCTCACATTAGCTCCTTATTACTATCGAACTGGAGGATAATCTTGCATGAAGATAAATTTGTATTAAATCTTAAAATTTTATTTTTTGTTCAACAAAGGACATATATCTAATAAGATTGATGAAGCAGAGAACCAGGAAAAAGCATGTATGTTAACTGCATATAAGAGTTAATGTGACAATATCATAAGTGTGAGTTCCTTGGGCACCAAGGAAAAGAGAAAACTGTTATTGTAGCTCTTGGCAACTACAGTAGTACCTGGCATATAGTGGGTATTCAATAAAGATTTAAGATAAGTAAAAGTGATTGTGTGCCATATATTTTAAAAATGTTAAAAACTTGAATGGTATCCCACTATCAAATTACAAATTATTAACAGACTGTGGAGGCATTTCCATTCTACTTATGATATATATTGAGTGCTTATTTTATGTAACATATTGGGAATAACAGGGAGGGAATAAGACGGGCAGATTTTACCACCTTTGTTCTTACCATCCAGTGGAGACAATAATTTTGGGAAACTTTATCAGACATAGTGTAAAAATGCTAGTATAATATGACTGTAGTTCTGAAAAGTAATACCTGATGTGTACTGGTTTTTGTTGTTTGTAGTGCTAATCCTCCATCTGGGGTTGAAGATGAAACTGCTGAAAATGGTGTACCAAAACCGGTAACATAAGACTTTGAAATCCAGTTACTTTCCTGTTTAAAATCTTTATCAATAGCTTTACAGTTCACTTAGAAAGAAAGCCAACATTTAACATGACTTTCAGTATCCTGTGTTATCTTGCCCCTTTGCACATCTTCATCTGGTGTCATCAAAAGCATATGTAGGAATTAGTAAGGAGGAGAAGAAATAGTAGTGACTTTTAGAGGAAATACAGTATGTGCAAAGGCTTGATGTTTATTGCTTTCAGGGAATTGAATGGTCGCAGATGAACTGAGTAGATCATAATGAGCCTGATTTTCAAAACAGATGTTGAACCTCACAACATTAGTTTGATTATTATGTTTTTTTTAGCAGTGTTTTTTAAATATATGTGACAGTCCCTGACCCTGACATGCCTGTTAAATTGGTATTTTGGGAAGCGAACGTCTCATTGATCCTATGAATATCTGTACTTTTTTTTTTTTTTTTTTAGTTTTTATTGTTGGTACATAATACTTGTATATCTTTATAGGGTACATGTGTTGTTTTGATACAGGTATACAGTGTGAGTTAATCAAATCAGGGTAATTGGGGTATCCATCACCTCAGGCATTTCTTTATTTGTAGATTTTAATCCTGTAAAAAGAAGGAAATTATTATTCTGCAAGTTTGAACTTTTGTACAATAAGAGTATTTTTGCCTATATGATCTGCTTATTTACTATGATGTGACTAAGCACAAAAAAGCCTTTTAGAGCCAAATAAAACCTTCATAAATGGTTTCATTTTTACACAGAGAGATAACAGGGTATTTCCTCAACTATTTGCATATAGGGCCTCTTCTAGGTGTGAATGAATGCCAGGGATAATTGAGCTACTCCTTAACTCTTTGGTACTTTTTGACCGTGACTCTGTGAATCTTAACAATTGTTTTTCTTTTGTTCATAGTCTTTTTTGCCAAGAATGTTTCAAATACTTATTTTTTGTAGTTTTATCTTGCCGATATCTTAGTATGTTGCCTTAGATTCTTGAAAGATGGACGGTTATAGATAGTATTTTAAAAAAAATGAGATATTTATCAAAAGGTGATGCTGAAAAAAAGGTTTAATTTCTTTATTTGGTCTTACCTTTTTTTTTTTATCACGTAGAACGTCAAAATTATGAGTTGAGGCCGGGCGCGTTGGCTCACGCCTGTAATCCTAGCTCTCTGGGAGGCCGAGGCGGGCGGATTGTTTGAGCTCAGGAGTTCGAAACCAGCCTGAGCAAGAGCGAGACCCCGTCTCTACTAAAAATAGAAAGAAATTAATTGGACAACTAAAATAATATAGAAAAAATTAGCCGGGCATGGTGGCGCATGCCTGTAGTCCCAGCTACTCGGGAGACTGAGGCAGAAGGATCGCTTGAGCCCAGGAGTTGGAGGTTGCTATGAGCTAGGCTGACGCCACGGCACTCTAGCCTGGGCAACACAGTGAGACTCTGTCTCAAAAAAAAAAAAAAAAAAATTATGAGTTGAAATGGGTGGCAGTGTCATAAGCATTGTAACTTTTTTCTCTAAAACTGTATCTCAAAGACATTCACAGGAGGGTTACTTTTTTAATTAACATTTTATGTTGAAGTGGATTATTGAATGTATTTTATAATTGTTTATGTTGGTATAGAAAGTGACTGAGACTGAAGATGATAGTGATAGTGACAGTGATGATGATGAGGATGATGTTCATGTCACTATAGGAGACATTAAAACAGGAGCACCACAGTATGGGTAAGTTATTTTTAAGTAAGTAACAATTATGTGCAAGCTACATAGTAAAGATAATGTGCCTGTGTCAAACCGTCATTGGTTGATTCCATTGTTCTTATGTTCTTCTATCTTGATACAAAAGAACTCTTGTTAAAATTTGACTATAAAGAGACTTCTAAAGTTAATTAGGTAAAGTTACATGGAAGTAGCAGTTTTTGATTATCGAATTTAAAGTGTTTTGTGAAAGAAATGAGTACTATACATTCTTTGGTTAGAACTGGAAAACTTTATGTTGTAGTTTACATCTCTCAATCTTTCACTTTCTTATCAAAACCTGAGGTTAGGTTTTTAATTTTTTGTTGTTGTGAGACAGGATCTTGCTCTGTCCCTGGGCTGTAGTGCAGTGGTGTCATGATAGCTCACTATAACCTCAAACTCCTGAGCTCAAGCAATTCTCCTGTCTTAGCCTCCTGAGTACATGGGACTACAGGTGCATGCCACCATGCTGACTAATTTTTTAATTTTTTGTAGAGAAGTGGTCTCCCAGTGTTGCTCAGGCTGGTCTTGAACTCTGGCCTCAAGTGATAATCCCGCCTCGGCCTCCCAAAGTGCTAGGATTACAGGTGTGAGCCACCTTACCTGGCCAATTGTTTTGTCCAATAAAAACAATATCAAAAGTATTTCTTTTTGCTCTTAATAGTTTATTTTCCAAGTTCCTGCAGGCTTTTTAAAAAAGGCCAATGTTTGTCTCAAATTTTATGTTTTATAAACTGGACCAAGTGAATGGGCTGTCATTGACTCATTGGGTACATAAAGAATCTTACAGAAAGATTGCATTTAAGTACCGATTGTGATTTTGTTATAGTGATTGAATAAGAGTTAGTGTTTTTTTTTTTCAAATTGGCTATATATTGTGGTTATAGTTTGTGCATTGGAGACATAAAATAACTTCATTGATTTCACTAGTTCATGAAGCAGCACATATACATAAATGCTGCAAAATATTTTTTTAGTAGAGCCATTTTTTTCAAAAGTTTTTTATTTCAGGAAGCTTAAAGGTAATTCAGTTACTGTCCTAGTCAGGATTGCATTATAATAGTGACTACCCATGTAATTTTAAAATCCTAGCAACTTTATAGGGAGCAGAGTACAGACTCAGTTACTCATGCGAGGGATAGATACTTTGTGCTCCTTAACTCTACTTGGTAAAGTAAATAATTAGTGTTGGACTTATAATATTGTACTGGTAGATCTTTCAGCTAATAGGCCTTTACCGTCTGCATTATGCAAAAGGAACTCATTTATATAAAACTGTATAATCATGGCATATTTAGTAGATATTGTTACATCAGATTATTTGTATTTGCCAGTATAGAGCAATTTAAAGCAAAAATTGACAATTTCTTTGGATTATTAATGTGACCGATTTTTTTGGTAGGAATTGCATGCAAATATTAAATGTACGAAGACTGCCATAGTACTTTATCCGAACTTTATTTCTTATGACAATTTTCAATTTTCTGTATTGTAGTTTTGTTGGTACTTATTTATCACGTTTAGACTGTAAATTCCTTTAGAAACCATTGTTTGTGAATTTTCCTATTCCTCACATTGCCTTACATATAGTATTTAGTGTTTATTGACTAAGTAAACTGCATGTTAAAGGCACAATTTTCTCTGATAGTTTTTTGCCCCTTAATATTTGATTATGAAAATTTTCAAATATTCGGAAAAGTTTAAGAAATTGATCTGTAACCACTCACTTGCTCATCACCTAGATTATGCAGTCTGTATTTTGCTGTGTTTGCTTTAACTCATATCTGTCTATCCATGCCTTTAGCCATTTATTAATCCATCTATTTTGTGTGAACTTTCATTTCAAAAGTAAGTTATAGACCATTGTGGAAAGTGTAAAGTTTGCCTAACTTCCATATTTCAAGGCATATGGAAAGGAAACTGAAAGAATACCATTGAGAAAATAAAATTGGATAAATATTTACTCTGTGTACAGCATTTTCAGAAGCAAATTTAAGGAGCAAAGTTTGTTCAAGGAACAATACTAACTTGGTTTATTATAAGTTGTTAGAAAGTCCAAAATAACTCTTTTAGGTAACATGCTTGTGTTACAAGTTCATTTTATACGTTAGGCATGAAGAAAAGCAAATCTTAAAGCAAGAATAATTTATCTTGTATGGAGAAGTAGTTTCTTAGCTATCTCTAAGATTCATTCATTCATTTATTCAGTGAACACTTTTTAAAGGCATAATTTGTCTGCTACTCTGTTAAGTAGCCAAGATAGTGCCTATATCAAGTGATCAGTGGTTGAGTCCATTGTTTTTACATTTTTCCTTCTTATCTTGATACAAAAGAATGCTTGTTAAAATTTTGCCATGAGATTTCCTAAAGATTTAGGTAAAGTTACATGGAAGCAGCAGTTTTTGATTTCTGAATTTAAAAAATTATAAAATAGTTCCAGAAATAGTGAGGAAGTCATGTGAGCAGATATTTTCAGTGCAACCTAGGTGCTAGAATAGAAACATGTACAAAGTGATTTGAAAGCTTTGAGAGGAAAGTTGCTAAATGTTGAATGTTGAAGAGGAGATTCCAGAGGTAACATTTGAATTTGCTTGAGTAATTCTTGAGGCGGAGGACTGGTGATTTTTAGGCAGAGGGCATGGCTTGGATAGGTGCAGTGGAAGCATGGTTTGGAGGAACTACGTGGCTAGAGGATAAGGTTGATGAAAAGGGATGGTTGAAATTTCTTATGGAAGGAGTTAGGACGCTTTTGCTGTCTTTGTGGAACCTTTGAAGGTTTTTAGGCATGTCAGATTTTTGGAAAAGAACTCTAGCAGCAGTAGTTGGGATGGTTTAGATGAGGAGAAATTAGGTAACGGACTTGAAGTAGTTGTCCAGGTGAGATAATAATGTAAGCCAGCAGTGGTATTTTAGAGTTTCATGTAAATGAATTCATATTATGGACAAAGTATTCTGTGAGTATTGAGAGAGGATTTATCAACAATATCAAATGCAGGAAGGACTGAAAAGGAGGCCACCGAATTTGGCAAGAAGTTGGAGAAATTTCACTGCTGCGGGATTGCTGTATGTTGAATAACTAGGAGGCAAGGAAATGAAAACAAGGGGTATAAACTGTTCTTCCCTTCCCAGCTAAATATCTTAGGAAGTTTGTTACAGTGGGTTATTGAGTTGGTGGCAAGGAGCTTTTTGAAATGGAAACAAGTCAGACTTTTAAAAATATACATGTTTTTGTTTTTTGTTGAGTGACAGACTTTTAAAAATAATTTAAAATGTTTTCTAAATTGTGTGAGTTGGTGTCAGTCCATTTATATGTGAGTGTATAATTTGTACACATCGATCATACTATTTTGTTTACTTTTAAGTTTCTTAGGGTGATTTTTATTATTTTGTTTTTAGGAGTTATGGTACTGCACCTGTGAATCTTAACATCAAGACAGGAGGAAGAGTTTATGGAACTACAGGTAAAATTTGTATTTGCATCAATAGGAAAATAAGGCACATATCTTACATAAGTCATAAATAGATTATAATAGCTCTTGTATAAGAGCAGTTTTTGACCATATATCACAGATTGGCAAACTTTTTCTGAAAAGACCAGATAGGACATATTCTTAGCAACTTCCTTTTGGTATAGGCATCCCTTATTTATTGTAGATCCCTAATCTTTCTATCCAGTTTATTTTATAGTTACCCCATAACGTTTGACTTCACCTACTTTTATTTATGGTAAAAACATTAATGCTTTGTTTGGAACCCTTGCCATGTTTTGTGCCAGGAATAGTAAAAAGGCGTTAATGTTTTCTGTTTGTCTGTGTTATCTCCCAGCTTCTTGCTAATGTAGCTCCTTCACCATTTTGTAATTTTATAAAATAGGAACAAAAGTCAAAGGGGTAGACCTTGATGCACCTGGCAGCATTAATGGAGTTCCACTCTTAGAGGTAGATTTGGATTCTTTTGAAGATAAACCATGGCGTAAACCTGGTAAGATTGTTGTGGCTTATATTTATTTCAAGAGTTTTAATGTGAAATCATCAGAAAAGTATTTTTGAACATCATTTAATAATTTTATTTTTTCATTGTCATTTTTATTGTCTTAAGCAAATGATTAGTAATAATGACTTAGATTATTAAATCTTACTGGTAGCCTAGCATTACTTAAATATAGACTTGCATATTTTTTTATAAATGCCGTTTCTAAAGGAAATAATTTGATCAAAATTTTTGTAGTCTTTTTGCCACCATAAATGGTAATTTTGAGAACTAGTAAAATTAGGGCGATAAGACTGATAGAACTCTAAATTCATATTTTTATAGTTCCTTATATTTTTGATGTATAAAAATATTCCTGAAATGTTTGCACACTAAAAGTATGTTTTATTTTTAGGTGCTGATCTTTCTGATTATTTCAATTATGGGTTTAATGAAGACACCTGGAAAGCTTACTGTGAAAAACAAAAGAGGATACGAATGGGACTTGAAGTTATACCGGTTACTTCTACTACAAATAAAATTACGGTAATTAGTAAATATTTCAGAATCCCCCTGCCTTTTCCACTGTCCCACTTTTACCCCCCCCAAATAAATCACTTTTTCCCTATAAAGGTGGTTAAATGCTATTTGATAGTTTAAAATTTTTATTGTTTTACCATGTTTGTTTTTTTCCCTTCCTTCCCTTTCAGAGTTTCATATTAATGATTATCTGATGTTCTTAGTTTCAAGTCACAGACTAGCCACAGCTAGTTTGTCTTTATATGGCCTATTAATTACAAATTATGTGGTATCTTAATGGGGAATATGTTATTTAACTTAGGCCGAAGACTGTACTATGGAAGTTACACCAGGTGCAGAGATCCAAGATGGCAGATTCAATCTTTTTAAGGTGAATTTTAGTAAATTATCCTTGGTTGCTCTCATTTTTTGTTCTTGAGTCTGCTCCCATACCACTATTCAAGGGACAAGATAAAGTGGAAATAGTTACCTTTTTTCCAAACCTTCAGCTTCCTGGTGACTTACAAATTTGCTGATTGTTGTTTTATCTCCACTTTTGTAAGCATGTGAATTTATAGCCTATTATACTAACAAATGCCAAGTAAAACTATTCTTTGCTATATGTTGTGATTTTATTTTGAGTCGTAGTATATGTTTGTAGGATGTAAAAGTTAATGGCAACAGATTAAATTCTCATTGTAGGTCATGCTCTAATCTTTATCAGCAAAATTGGAGACTTAGTTTTCCTTATTTTCTTTAAAAAATGGTAAGGAAGGTGGCATACTGTTTATATTATCTGCATGACACTGAAATCATCGGTGTAATCTATCTTGTAGTTCAAGATGTCTTCAAGAATCTTAGGCCTTCTCTAAGAATCTCTAAGAACTCAACAGAATGGGATAAAGCCATTGATTTTTTAAATTAGTGCTTAAAAGAAGTAGGTTTATGTGCAAGACTTGAAGGTTGATACTACTAGTTGGGTATCAAGTGTGATTTCTGGCTTCATTCCACTGTATGATCATAGACCCAGTCCAAAGAATAATATTTTCATGTGTTTCTTGAAACCAGATTACGTACTCTTCTTTCTGTACCTTAATATTTGATTCTTGTATTGAATGGCACTCAGATGGAGATTGGGAGTGTTAGATTGGGATTGGGGTGTGCACTCAGGGAACTTTTGTGGGCTGAATATGGAACTCTGTGCCCCTTTTGGGACTGCAGTCCTGTCCACCAAAAATACTGCCTTATGCAATGCATGTGCTATATCCGCAGATGTAACCGCTCTGCTGGACACAGTTCTATATAAAGAATTTAATTTTAATTTACATCCTACTATAGGTAAGTATTTGGTTCTTGTTCTGTTGTAAATATTTTGAAAGTGTGTGATGATGTCTATTTTAAATGGTCATCAGGTTCTTTTTGGTGATATTGTCTACTTAGGCATTGACTATATCATTAAACTCGATTACAATAGATAGAAAAGTTGTCATGATAAACTAGTTCATTAGTGGTTTTTATTTTCTTCTAAGATAAATGAGAACTGCCATTGCAAACTGTTAGCTTCTGTATACTTTAGTTTTTTGCAGTAGACTTTTAAAAACAATAAAAAGAGATTCCTAGGGGCTAATCTCTCATTGAAGGTAGCCACTGTGAATGTGTATTTTATATGCACTGTTTATCAAAAAATAATTTGGAGATTTCTTTTGATTATATGAGAAGAGGTCATTGACTCTTCCTTTACGATTTGATTCTTCTTTTTTTGTGTGTGTGTGTGTGACAAAGTCTTGCTTTGTTGCCCGGGCTAGAGTGAGTGCCGTGGCGTCAGCTTCGCTCGCAGCAACCTCAAACTCCTGGCCTCAAACATCTCCTGGGCGATCGTCCTGCCTCAGCCTCCCGAGTAGCTGGGACTACAGGCATGCGCCACCATGCCCGGCTAATTTTTTTCTATATATTTTTAGTTGTCCGATTAATTTCTTTCCATTTTTAGTAGAGACGGGGTCTCACTCTTTCTCAGGCTGGTCACAAACTCCTGAGCTCAAACTATCCATCCACCTCGGCCTCCCAGAGTGCTAGGATTACAGGCGTGAGCCACCGTGCCCAGCCTTTATTTGATTCTTAATGAATTTGATGGGTGCAATCTAATGGTTTTCTGCCGTGGTAATGTGTTGAAATATTAACATGTCTGTTAGAAATACTAATTTGGGAAGAGGGTGTGAATGTTAATAATGCATGTAGCAAACATTTTTTATTTATGTATATTGTGGTCTGTTGGAAAGGGTAGAAATAGAGCCATGATGGGAAAGACCTTAATCTTAAACTAGCTTGCGGACATTTGTGTAGCTGGTAGAAAGCTGTTTGAAAGCTCTCAAGCACTAAAATAGTGTGAAGATCTGGTTTTTAGAAAAGGAACTGGCAGCAGCGTGGACTGTAGAATTTAAGGGGGATAGAAAGGAGTCGGAGACTAGATAGGGAGCTGTTGTATGTTATAGTACTATAAGAATGAAATGAACTAGGGCCTGAACTCATGATGGTGAATGGCCAGAGGAATGGATTTAAGAATCATAATTTAAGTT